GAATCACCTTCATCCTCCTAGTAAGTCAGATAAGCATGAATCCCTTTCATCCTCCTAGTGAGGGAGAGAAGCCTAAATCCCCTCGCGATAGTGAAGTAGCAAGGCCATTTGACACCAAGAGCCTCTTCACAAAGTTTTCATCAAGTAAAACCTTACCCCACGAAGGAAGAAGATGAATGTTGGCCGAAGTAACCATGTGTAGACCCTCTCTCACACACTTCCTTGATCTTATAAGGCTATTCTCCCTCTCTCTCAATAACACCTCTCTCCCCCTTACCCAAAGCTCATTTTTCAAACTCTCTCTCACAAAAGAGTCAAGCCCCTTGACTGCCAAAGACATCTCTAAATGAGATTAGAGTAGTTTAAATAGTAGGATCCGAGAAACCCTAATTTTCAATTTAGCTATCATTGTTCATACAATACTATATATTGATCATACAGTATGATTAGTTCAATTCTCCTTCTATAATACTATATAATGAATAGTATAAAAGACGACCAGATAAAGTTTGTTAACTCATTGTACTCTATGAATTAATAGTAGTACAATATGATTAATTCAATTCAAGATCAAATTGAACAAAAATCATCTAGAGGGCCGTCAAGTGATTTAAACAGTAAGATTATTGGATCGTACTGCACGAACCAAACTTCATCCAAAGACTCATCGAGTGATTCGTATAATACAATATATATAGTATAGTACAATCTATAATCAATTAGAATCAATTTGATTGCTTAATCATTTACCTAATTATTCAATTATTTAAAAGATTGTGTAGTACAAAATTATTCATATAGTATGAATAGTTCAAATTTCAAATTTACCTATTTTAGGTAAGTTAGAATTAATGGCGGAGTTTTAGATTATGGCTGAAAGTCCAATATGATGTATTATTCATACTATACGATTAGTTATATTACAAATTATTTTTTTATACAAAATAAAGCATTTTAATTAATTTCTATTTTAACAAATCATATAAAACGATCAAAATCATATGATATGATTAATAGAAAAAAATAAAATATTTCTTTTACACTCCCCTTGTGTTTGGGCACGGTTCCTAAGCTAATATACATCTTTTATAATACATTGACTCAAAAAAGATAAAAAAATTTATCTTTTACAAAATTTAATCATATACTACTCAATCTTGAGCCTTGATTCTTTGTCGATTCTTGTTGTATGTTGTACGTGAAATATTAGTAATCACAAAAAAGATGTACAATAATAAAAAAGAGTATAAACTAAATAAATTCCAATAATATTTGTAATATTCAAAATATAAGCTAGAGTTCATGGATTACAACATCTCTAACTTTGCCTTGGCCCAATGACCCAGTTGAAAAAATCTTTTAAATATAGGTCACCCAGATGCATCAAGTCAAGTAAGCTTAGAATATTACTTCTTTCAACAAATAAACAAAACAAGATTATTTTTATTGTAGCCATTCTTTTGACTCAATGAATAAAAAATGTTATCAACAACGAACATATCTAGGCATATTGAGTTCTACTTTAAACCCACTTGAGAATTAAACTAAGGAATAAGAAACTTGTGCGTTTCCAAATCAATTGGTTGGAGTTTTTAAACTTAAAAGCCTTTGAGATTGACCTTTAAAGCTACTTGAGAAGCCACAAGAAAGGGATGAATTCGATGACACTCACCATAAAGTTTGTTAGTATTTGTTGAAGGATGAGTCCAAAAAAGTTGAGGATGTTGGTGAATTTCCTACATGACGAAAATTGCTATCGCAGCTTGAAATAGTCATAAGGGATACAAAATGATTCTTTGTAGAAACTGCTTAAATGATTATCCTCATCTGAGACCTACACTCACAAGTTCCATCTCCATAATTGTAGTTAATACATCATTTTATTGTAATTTAAAATATCCTTGTACAAATATGAATTGTCGGCATTTGTGAAGCTCATGGTGCATTTAAGAAGTTTTATTATTGTAATCTCTCACACTATCCCTAGGAGAAGGATGATAAATCATAAAATTATGCACCCTCCGTAGTATATGAGACAGTCTTTATAAGGAGGGATGGTGACATGATTTACAAGGCTCTAGTCACAATTGGAATAAGTGCTCAAATTGCAGCCATATGTCATCATTATTTGAAGAATTTGTACATCTTACCCTACTCACCATCAAGTCACCATCAGGGTACTTTTAAGGAGTGGCTCTAACATAAAAACAATAATCTCACCTCACTTTGTTAGGAGTCATCGATGATTCACCTTATTCATCGCTCATTGTTGGCATTAATTTGCTATGTTCTAAAATAATAACATGCTCACAACTTGATGAACAACATCTAACTCGCCATATCAAGAAATAAAAGTCTAATTTAACTCTTTGTCATTATTAATTTTCATCGACAAAGAAGACACAATACATCATATTAGTAGCAAGCTAAAAAGAAAGAATAGATATATATTATGAATTTGCTAATAAGGTATTCTAAGTAAATATAATTTCATTACATAGAATATTTATTAAGTTCTTAAAACTTGCTCACATTATAAAAAGAAAAAAAGATGAAAAACCTACTCATCCTCACTTAAAATTCTACAAATTAGGTATGATACAATATTGGGTGGCAAAACTCTTATTGTTATTAAGTATTGATCTTTTATGATTATGAATTCCCTCATTCAACATAACGTGCACATTAAGGATCTTTTCACCAAGCTGGCTCACTCTACTAAGCCTTCTAAGGCGAGTGGTGTCTATATAGGAATCCCATCACCCATGAAATTGATGGAAAGTAATAAGGTAGGCGCTTAAAAAGTCTTTGTAGACAAGACCATGTAAGGTTCTTTAATTGAGGGTGACGTTATAGTCCTGTCAACACTCTCATCTCTTGAGGACTCAATGACGTCAACTTCATGCTTGACTTCTACTAATATTGGTGCTGGCTAATTCACAATGCTCGTTGCCAAGGGAGTCCCTCCTATGGTCATTAATGAAGGATCAACAATGTGAATTTATATTTCCAAAAAATATAAAGGAATAACTATAATCTATTATAGAAGATTATCATCTTCCTATATGAGCCATGATCCCCTTGCATTAAGGTCAATGCTTCAAACTCACTTTGCAGGTGTCCTAAAAACTTGCTTGAACAAAGACATACGTTTAGCTCGTTTATGGATGACGATGCTCGATAACCAAACAATACCCTCTCAAGAAATTTTTATTAATTCTCCTTACATTCACACTAGTTAATAGGAGACTCAAACACTACAAAAGTCATCATCATTTTAGTAGAGACTACTACTTTAGTAACTGCCATTTGCCTAGTGGAGATATGCCTAGTTCACCTAATGGTCAAGGGGACACCATTAGAGCTAGAGGAAAGGACCACTCCCCTTGGTATCTTTGCAATTAGGGTCACTACAACTAGTAGCACTACATCAGGAAGAGCATCAATCAATGACCCCACACTAGCCTCTACCTTCATCACTACATCAATTGTGGGTGTTGCTAGTTCCAATAATCTTGTGCCTATAGGGCCACTCACCTCAACAACTACCTCCTTACACATCAATAACCCCATTTTCCTTTCGTTGTCCTCATCCTATTTAAATTTACAAAGAATAGCCCTGTTCATTTGCTTGAAGTTAGACATAACCAACTCAACATGGTTCATTTCTACCATCTTAAGTGCATCAATTATTAATGAAGATCAAAACGTAAGGGTATGGCGCCCCTCAAGTCAATGCTTATAAGGGAAAGAGGTGATTATGGTCAAACAAATGTTATGATGATGAACCTGCTTGGCTCCCAAGGCGGTCATAATACTAAGGTAGTTATCATTCTTACTCTCATTTTTACTATTTAGTAGAAGCATTAATTGTTTTCATCAATTCACTTCTTCTTTTGACCACTCATGAATCAAGGTACTAGATGTATATTTACACGTCTACGCAAGCGTTTCATATATAAGTATCTAATAGGTTTCAATAAGAGAAATCGTCCAAAGTAGTTGCATACCCTATTTAAGGAACTCACAAGTAGCAGATGTTACTTATCCAAATCAATCAAATCAAAGAGTCAGTACATGCAGAAATATTATATAACTCTTATAGATTCTTTCAAACATAAGAGAGACAAATTTCAACAAAGATCAACCTCCATGAGCCACTCATCGAAAGAACCATCAAGCTTCCCCTGACATTTCTTGATCAACTACACAAAAATGACTAGCTCAAGGGTCTATAAGACATCCTAGACTCGGACAATCTTTAGCACATAATTATCATCACCTCAAGAGATTCACCCTTCACACCCCATAGTTCCAACTAGAGCCCCCACGGACTCATCACGTCATCCAAAGGACTCATCCATATAAACTAATAATGTATAACTTTTTAGAAGACTACCCCACACTCATCAAGAAAGTCTTACCCAGAGAACTTACCTTAAAAAAAAGAACTATATTTAACATACAAAGCCACACAAATACCTATTTTCATGCCACGTGTTCTATATAAACTATAATATATTATAATTAATATTATACTTTTATTATTATGCATAACATTCACTATAGCCCTCCAAAACATATTAATAAAAGGTGAGGCATAATTAATATTGCACATATTTGAAAATATTTTGTTACTTCCAAAATCTTTAGGCACGTTCAAGATCTCTTGGTATTTCTAAATATATTCTCTTATTTCTTTCTCCTTACTCATCCAAAATTTCCCAAATCCTCTAATTCTTACACAGACAATTATTTGCTAGAAAAATTGAATGTCATCCACAAAAAGAAATTGAAACAATTTACAGCTTTTTCTAGTTATTTGTGTTTTAGAGTAATTAACCATCGTATTATCCCCATCAGATAGTCTGGAGAGCTTCAAACTGTGACAAATATAGGTTTTGGATGATATTGTCGAAGATAATAGATTGTTTTTGACGTTTTCCCGCATTGTTGCAGCATGCAGAAGATTATTTTCTTCCCATGAAAAAGAGCGAAGATAATGGAAACAAAATTATCTCATTTTTTTTATGTTTAGACTTGCGATTCTTCAAAAAATGCAGTGCCAGTTCACAAAAAATGCATACAAAGATGCTTTCCAGACACTCATTTGGCACGCATCAAAATATTTTTGTAATGAAGCTTGGGGTTCTTCTCGTTTGCATATGCACAAGAGTTCTTAACAAAAACAGCAAGCCCGATGAAAGAAGTGCCATTGTTCCCTATTTTCTTCCAAAATATAAAAGAAGCGATGATTGCTTGCCTCCGCTTTGTAGCTTTTTCTTCACTGACGTGGAGTAGCTATCGGATAACTCAGTTTTAACATCAAAATCAGGTTCCATCTCCTCAAGATCTCGCTTAATACCACGAAGTTCTGGGCCAGCATCTCTTTTTTGTGCCGATGGAGAGCCATCAGACTTGCGTCTCTTTTCATCTGCAAGCTCTTTAGTGTCTACCATAGCAGGTTCCTCCTTCAAAGACTTGGGATTCTCATTTTCAGAGAAATCATCAGCTGATTTCATAAATTCTGGCTCTGCCTTGCATTTGTTGATGTTATTATCACTCGTCTTCGAAAACAACATAGATATTTGATTTTGAACAGAAGGTTTCAATTGTATCTGCAGATAATTAAAATACATCTTATCAAGTCTTTCTGATGGCGGTTGCAGCGTGTGGTGGTTAATATATGAAAGTGGCCTGTAGGATTCAACATTGATGTCATAAAAAATAAAAAAGATCTAATCATATTTATTTGCATACATAAAAAACAGTTCAAAATGAATTCATACTAGACGGTATTAAACAGTAATAAGCTGCATGTAAGAATACCTTACAGTCCTTCCACGCAAAATCATCAAATTCGAACTCAGAATTTCAATTTAAATCTCTAACTGTTTCCACTAAAGTCTGCAACTACTGTCACTAAATTCAATGAAAATTCAGTTGAATTTCAGTGGAAATTAACTATTCCCGGCAGATTTTTACTATAGCCCACTTACCTTAACTTGCAGAAGCCGGATGAGATCCCACGGCTGAGAAAACAACAACAACAAGACTTTGTCCCACTACGTGGGGTCGGCTACATGAATCTTTTTTCTCCATTGTGTCCTATTGAAATTCAAATACTCGTCTAAACCTAATAAAGAAAGATCATTTCTAATATTTTCTATCCAAGTCTTTTTAGATCTACCTCTACCTTTCTTAACATAAGTCAAATTTAATACATCTACTTTCCTAACTGGGTCATTGGAAGGCTGTTGTTTTATGTGACCAAACCATCTAAGGCGACTCTCTCTAATATTATCTTCCACTAGTGCTACTCCAACCTTTTCACGTATATGCTCATTTTGTATCCTATCTCTAAGGGTAAAAGCCACTTATCCACCTAAGCATCTTCATCTCTGCAACACTTAACTTAGTATTATGCTTCTCTTGTAATGGCCAACATTTGGCACCACAAAGCATTGTAGGACTCACCACCATCTTATAGAATTTTTCCTTAAGTTTGAGGGGGACTTTTCTATCACACAACAAGCCCGATGCATTCCTCTACTTCAATCATCCAACTTGAATTCTGCTAATAATATCCTCATATTTCACCATCACTCTGAGCAATAGATCCAAGATATCTAAAACGTGTACTCTTATTAATGACTTTATCATCCAAAATCACAATCCACTCACTAGTCTGTTACTACTAAAATTACACTCATTATATTTAGTTTTAGATCTACTCAAGTGAAAATCTTTAGACTTTAAGGTTGAACTCCAAATTCAAGCTTATCTCAACTCTCTCTCTAGTCTTACTAACAAGAAGAATATTATCAGTAAAAAGCATACACTAAGGTACATCCTCTTGCAAATGTCTAGTGAGAACATCCATGAATAAAGAAAAAAAGATATAGGCTTTAAGGCTGATCCTTGATATAATCCAATCGAAATAGGAAAATACTTGGTCAAACCACCTTGTGTTTGAACACAAGTAATAGCTCATGCATACATATCTTTAATGATTTGAATATAAGTGTTATTAACTCTATTTTTTTCAAGAACTCTTCATAGCATTATGTTGGAACTTTATCATATGCTTTCTCTAAATCAATAAATATCATATCCTCCTTATTCTCTTTATATTTCTCATCACACCTCTCAATAATCGATGTTGGATACATAAATCCAACATGAATCCAAATTGATTTGTGAGAAACTAGTATCACGTCGCAACCTACGCTCCATAACTAACTCACATAGTTTTAAAGTTATGACATATTAACTTAATTCCTCTATAATTCTTACAATCATATGCATCACCTTTATTCTTAAAATATGAATCAACCATACATTCTCCACTCATCTAGCATCTTTTTAGTCTTCAAAATAGTATTAAAAGTTTAGTAAGAGCAAGAATAACTTCATCTCCTAAGCATTTCCACATCTCTATTGGAATATC